GGATCTTCCTACTTGAGTGGGTAAAAGCATAGCGTCTATTAGGGCACTCACGGCTTCAGAGTTCTTGATTGAGTTCCTGCTGAGCGGAGAAAATCACGAGCCTGCCATATAGGCCCAAAATCATGGGCTATACCGAAGGCATAACGTCTGTGTCTGTGTAAATATTAGCTGTCTTACCAGAAGCCAGTTTTTTCGCTTCAGTGAGTGCCTTCAGCTCAGCCTCCTGTGCAGAGCAGTGAGGGGCGAGTGGTTCAGCTTTTATTACCTCACGTGCAGAGACTACAGCATATCCAGTGTGGAAATGGCCCTTCTCCTCAGCATATCTGGAACCATCTACAAAAAACTCAAAGTCTGGATTAGACAATGGAGAATCAATTACATGCGAAAAATCTGCTGTCTCCTGTGACATTAATGCTGCACAGTCATGGGGTACCTGATCTTCATCTGGTGACAGAGAATTTACAAAAAGATCAGTACCACTACTCTCACTAGTCCCCTCTTTAAAATCCATGGGAAGCAATGTAGATGGATTTTGCACCATACATCTCTTCAAGGTGATGTTGGAAGGCATAAGTAGGGCACACTGCATCCTAAGATGCCTCACAGTATGTATATGTTTGGGCTGAACTTCTGACAAAATGCTGTTAATGTCATGTGGAGTGTAGACGGTGACATGATTGTCTAGGACAATATCTATGGCCTTGTCCAGTAGAGCCATAATGGCAGCTACTGCTCTAACACAAGAAGGGGCACCTCTGGCAACAGGATCTAACCTGGTGGAGTAGTATGCAATAGGCCTTTGTTTGCCACCATGGTCCTGTGTAAGGACAGCCGTTGCGTAACCAGCCTGCTCGGTGCAAAATAGGGAGAAGGGTTTCCTGTAATCTGGGAGACCCAGAGCCGGGGCTGTGGTGACAAGCAATTTAAGAATGCAAAATCCTTCCTCTGCTTCAGGGGTTAAATGAAAGGGGTCAAGAGTGAGGAAATCATGCAAGGGCTGCATGTAGATTGCTGCAGAGCGAAGCCATGGCCGACAATAGGATACTAGACCCAGGAATGTACGTAGCTGGGCTAGGCTACGTGGAGGGTTAATCTTTTGAACTGCATGTTTCCTGTCTGTGGTGAGATGCTTTGTACCATGAGAAATACATTGTACCAGAAAGATAACAGTGGGAGCACGTGCCTGCAGTTTGGCCTTGGTAGTTTTGCACCCTGCTTGTGCCAAAAAAATTTGATAAGACAGTGCTGCTATGATTCTTGATCTGGGCAACATAAAAGCAAATCATCAACATCTTGCAACAACACAACATCGTCTGCCCTTGGCCAAGCTTCTAGAATTGGTGCCATTGCCATGCTATACATGGTAGGTGAATTCTGAGCACCTTGAGGCAGCACCGTCCATGTGTATTGTTTATGATTGTGTGTGAATACAAAAATGTATTGGATATCTGGGTGCAAAGATACAGAAAAGAATGCATTTGCCAGGTCAATGACAGTAAACACCTTAGACAAAGGTGGAATTTGTGACAGAAATGTATTAGGGTTGGGAACATTTGGAGCAATCAATTCAGTTACAGCATTAATCGCCCTTAAGTCATGTACCATACGATAAACCACAGGCTTGCCTTTTTCCTGTTCCTTTTTAACAGTGCACAGGAGTGTATTACAAGTGGAGGTGGTGGCAACAATTACACCTGCTTGACCAGGGGCATAGAGAGTCTGTCTGTATCTATCTTCCATCTCGCCCTTAGGGAGTCAGGGACTGAGGCCAAGTCAGGGCTGGGCAAAGTGAGAGTCGCTAGAAAAATGGCGAGGGGTATTAGGCAGTTGTCCTCTTGGGGCAGGAACAAGGATACCTTTCCAGATGGACTGAAATTAATTTTTGCATTAATAGCAGACAAAACATCACTGCCTAGCAAATTAACAGGAGCATTAGGACTGACTAGCAATCTGGTAACAAGAGAAGTAGAATCATGGAGCTTAAGCTTCATCTGGTGGGTTCGAGGGATTTCTGGAGGGGTCCCATCTACACCCACACATGATAACACATCATCAGATTTCTCATAGGGAAAGATAAATTTCTCCTGCACAACAGAACAGACTGACCCAGTGTCTAACAGAAAAGGGACTATTCTATCACCTGGTAATGTAACATTAACAGTGGGAGAGGGTCCAGCTATGTCGGGAATAGATAAAGCATGCAGGGACACTGGGTTGTCAATTTCCTATGGGGAAGCAGCAGTATCTTGTGAAGAAGGCATAAGCAGGGGCGCATTGTGACAGTGTGACAGTCAGGTTTGAAGCAAGAAGGACATTTACAGTTTCGCTTGTTATATCCTTTTCTGCCACAGTTCTAGCATTCTACTTGCTGGCGGCTATTGGCCTATCTGGGGGCAGTCACAGCCATAAGGGCTTTTGGTTTCTTTTTTGCGTGTATTAGAATTAGCCTCTACCCCCATGGCTACTTTAACTAAATCAGATTAAGCCCTCTCCACTCAGGGTACGCTGCCTGTAATGCAGTGCACAAGGAGAGGTGTATACCATTCATAAAACAATTAACCAAATGTCTGATAGACCGGGGGTCTGCTTCTGAGTATCCTAGCGATTCCCAAGCTATTTGAAGGCGGGCAAAGAATGTTTCCACTGGTTCCTCTTTGCCCTGTATTATATCAGTGAGCTTGTGGGCCAATTCTGCAACTTTTACCTTAGCCCAGTCCTGTAACATATGCTTTATCCGAGGCGGACTTAGCCTGAACCATGACTCGGTATTATAACCTTCACCCGCTTTAAGGTATGCTTCATGGGTGTCAGTGTTTTGGACTATGATTTTTGCCATTATAGGGCCAGCCTTTAAAGCAACAATTTGCTTCAAATCTCCCAGGTGCACTGATAAGTGGCCTGTATTGTCTCAAAAGATTGTACAAGTCCCAGGGGAGCCTTTTCCACATCAGGCAGTTGCTGGATTATAGCTAACTGCTCACTAGGGGTCCATGGCTTATACTCTTCCCATGTGTGCACAACAGGGCGGAGTGCTACCTGTCTTCTGGGGGTCATAGTTGAAGCAGCACCAGCGCCTGTATCTTGTTCTATGGTAATGATACAAGATTGGTCAGGCTGTGGGAGACCAGAGGCGTCAGGGGGACTCAACGTGGTTCCACTACGGAGAACTATCGGGGAAAGTGGATTTTGTGGTACTTCACTCTGTGAGGCATGAGTAAGGTGGTGAACTGGTGGCTTAGGGAACCCACAACTTCTACATTTTTCTTCCCATCAAGTGCTAGTCCATTCACATCTGGGGCAAATCCAGTAAGATTTTTGAGTAACTAAATTAGTAGTGGAGACCGGGACTTAAGGGGTCTGTTTGAGAGACAACTTAGGGTCACTCTCATCCTTACCAGGGTAAGGTGGTGAGTTGTATGAGGTACTAGGAGCTATAGCTTTAGAGCTGGATCCTAAGGTGCCAAAACATTGGTAGTAGGGTACCCCATTCCTTGTTGTTTCTCTACAACCACATTTAGTCAAATCTACTGCAGTATCAAGCCATTTCTAGGTAACTTAAACTAAATTGTTATCCATTAACCATCCTTTACATTTGGCCATAAATTCTTTCCAAATCTGTGGGTCCAGGAAGCCTTCAGAAGGCATAATAGCTTTCTTAAGAAGCTTCTTTATATTTTAACTGCCTCTTTGCTCTTATGATGTTTCAGTATGGTTAGGGCTTAATACTTAACCCCTTAAGGACCAAACTTCTAGAATAAAAGGCAATTGTGACATGTCACACATGCCATGTGTCCTTAAGGGGTTAAACGCAGCTGCTTACTTTAAGTCAAGACAAGAACATACTTAATCAGTGTAAAACACTTAGGACCACTAGTGGAATTTATTTACAGAACTTGTCTTTAATTTAAACACAGGTCAGTATACCTGTCCTGGGGAATTCTTATCCTGATCAGGAAATAAACAACTAGGCAGATAATAAGAATAACTTGGACCCCACAGACGTATTCTACAGTTTGTATACTACTTTCACAAGACATTCCACCAGAACATAGTATGTCCCTTTAAAAGTGTTCTTGGGAAATTACAATTTTTAAGTTCACACTAACCCGGACACAGAATAATCACAGCTCTGAGAGTGAAGATAAAAGGTAGAAAAAGAAAAGCTTGCTTCTGTACTCGTTCACAGTCAGAGACACCTATTCTGCTCAGGGCCGTCTTTAATATGGATTGGACCCTGGGCAAACATTTGCTTGGGCCCCCTGAACCTGGTCGTCCCCTCCCTGGCATGCAATCATGCCCCCCACCCCAACGCAGAGGCGGACGTAAAGTAGAGAGGGCTCTGGTGCATGAATTATTTTGGGCAAGAGGGGGCAAAAGGCAGATCCCCATCTGTCATGCAACTCCAACAATGCTTTGACAGCTGGGGCGCTACCATTTTCCTATGCATGCAGGGTTATATTTAGCACTGATCAGTATTTTGTGTGTTTGAGTGTAAGCATGTTTTTGTATGGAGTATGTTTGTGTGAATGTAGGGGTGTGTTTGTATGTGGAGATGGCATTTAAATGCAAGTATGCATTTATGTGTAGTGTCGGTTTATGAATACACTGGTGTGTTTATATATAATTTTGTTGTTTAAAAAAAGAGGTGTGTTTATATGTAGTGTTGAAGTTTGAATGCAGGTGTGTATTTGCGTGTAGTGTTGAATGCTGAGATGTATGCACAAATACACATGCACTGTCACAAACACACACACACACTGTGATACACATACACACACAGAAACACTTGCAGATACACAGATATACACAATCATACAGATGCAGCTATACAGACACATTTACACACACTGACACACACACATACAGACACACAACCTGGCACACATGCAGACACACAGATGCACAAACGCACACACACGCAGATACACTGACAACATACAGATACACAGACACACACAATGACAACATACAGACACACAGATACATAACCTAACAAATGCAGATACAAACACTGACACACATGCAGATACACACATTGGCTACATACAGATACATGCACAGGTATACACACTGGCACACACACACAGATACATACATACTGACAACATACAGATACACACTGACACACACACACAGACACTGTGACAGACATACTGACACATACACAGACATACTGACTGGCACACCGACATACATACAGACACACAAACTGACACACACAGACATACTGACATACACACAGACATACATACTGACACACACACAGACATACATACTGACAAACACATAGACATACAAACTGACACACAGACATATACTGACTGACACATACATACTGACACACACAAAGACATACATACTGACACACACACATACATACAAACTGACACACAGACAGACACTCTTCAGTTTCCTACCTTTGAAAGAGGCTTCCTTCCCTGGGGTCCAGTGTGCTGGCTGGGGTAGTTGGGAGTTGGGGGTCTGGCTCTTCTTGCTCCCCCTCCTCACTGGATCATGGCTAGCAGCCTCCCGCGCGGCCCGATGTCTTTGAGGTGGGAGGAAGTGATTCGCGGATGTCACTTCCTCCCATGCAGCCGTTAAGCAAGGACCCGGTCGCACTGTTAAAGGGCCACAGGTAAAGGTATGGGCCACCCAGGGGGGCCCCTTAGTGCGCGGGCCCCGGTGCAGCCGCAATACTAGCACCGCAGGCCCATTAGGTAGGGAAATATTTTTAAAAAATAAATTTTTATTGCAGGCGACGGGGCCCACGGGGCAGCTGCTTTGGGCCCCCCATGAGTAACTGGGCCCAGGGCAGCTGCCCCGTTTGCCCCTCCTTAAAGACGGCCCTGATTCTGCTCCCTATAGCTGGATAAACTGGAATCACTTTGTTAACTAGGCTTTGGGATGTCACACTTCACCATTGGCAACTGGATAATTGTGTAGAACAGACTGCTTAGAACTTTTGTAAGATGGGGGCACTAAATGCATGTTGATTGTTAACCTTTCAGTTTACTTGCTTGCTTATTAAAATTATAATACAGCAGTGGCCATTGTCATACCTGCCTGATTGTTTGGGTGGTGCAAAAGGATAAATAGGCAATAAATGTAAAGCAAAGAAGTTAACTGAATAGGAATTTATGAAATGGGCAAAGCACTGATAACGATCTGCTGTTAAAATGCATATAAATGAGTCATCATTTAAATGAATATAGAAACTAAGTAGGCATAAGGATAGTGCAAAACTCTTGACCTAAAGAAATTATAGTCTGAAATGCAAAACTACCTAGTATATATAACACTGTTGCTAGTTCAAACAACAAATAAAGAATTCATGATATACATTAGCCCTGCCCTAGGGTATGAATCATAGTAATAAAGTGATGAAAATGAGAGACAGATTGTGTGTGTGTGTGTGTGTATATATATATATATATATATATATAATTATATTGAAAAAAGATGCACTCTTCGTTCTTTTTGAAAATACTAACAGTCTTTAATCCATAGAAGATTTCCAGGTTGCTTGATCAACGTTTTGACCCGTTCGGATCTTCCTCAGTTGATCTGCATTAAACTGTATGTGTATGTGTAAGGGTGATGTATGTGTGTGTGCTGTGTATTTGTGCGTGCTGTTTGTGTGGGGTGGAGGTGGGGGGAGCGTTTAGTAAATATCCCTCCCTTCTTACCTTTTTATAGGGAGGGAGGACCGTGCTGCTTCCATCCCTGGTGGTCCATGTTCAGATCTCGCAAGAGGAACCCGGTGGAGCTGCTGGCTAGAGCGCCCCGGGTCCCCTCCTGCCTGCCTCCATGCTGCTGTGGGCCGGTGAAGGAGATCTTTGAGGGAGGCACATAGCGCGTGCCGTGGGGATTAAGGTGTGCCCAGGCACACCCGGCACACCCCGTGCGCACACCTCTGCATACACATACTGACATACATACATATACATACATACTGACAGATACACTCAGTACTGACATACATACACATACATACATGCACACCTACACATACATACTGACATACACATACACTTATTTTTCTTACCTTTCTTACTGTGGCGAAACTGACCTCGCCACTGGGCATTGGAGAAGACTGATTGCCAGCCTCCTGCCATGTGACTATGGCCCCTGGGATGTATTGCCCTTTAAAGACATGGTTTGGGCATAATGGATTTGTGTTGTGCTGCTGCTGGCCCTTTAAGAACCATCTGGGGACATACTGTGGAGTTACTGGGTGGCCACCATTTCATGTATCAGAGGCACATGGTGAGAACAATGGATGAAGCACATGGTGAGAACAATGGATGGCAGCCATTTTAACTCACAGACACTGTTTGGACTTTTCTACACGGTGCCATCTCGCCGGTATTTGGTGCACAAAGACATCGAGCAGTAGTTTTAAACTATACAACAGGGGATACATTATACATTAATTATTTTTCCTATAGCTTGTATATGTTCTGCAGAATCTGCATTAAACTATATCTTCCAAACTACTGAATGGATCTGGGTGAATTTTGGATATGTGGTTCACCCAGATCCCCCGGTTCTAAGGATATACTTATTTATACATATTTGAATGGGGTTATTGCATGTTTTGGGGTCCCTGTGATATGTTTTATAATACTGTATTTATCTGCCTGTGATAATTATATTAACCATTGTGTTCAGTAATCATATCAGGGGAGGATTTTGAGTGTCTGTGTGTTATGTCCGGATTGATTGGTTGTATTTCAGAACCCTGCGGGCTGTACTATGTTTGTGGATTGTGAATAAAAGAGGCTGTATGTGCCAGTATAGTCAGTTCTGCTTGACCTCAAAACGAAGTGTTGTCTCGTTATTGGGGGAATTGGATTGTATGCTGATTGCTCGGAGTGTAAGCTGATTGTATGCTCTTCCTGTTCAGCTGCTTACAGCGTTCATATGCTTGAGAGCATTCATATGCTTCTCTGGTTCGGTGGTTGTTGTGTCTGGTGCAGTGCTTGGAGTTCTCAGGAAGCGCTAGGAGCATCCTTCAACGGAGGTACCCAGTCGGGGTGCCAGGTGATCCGTTACAGAGGGAAAAAAAGGAGGATCGGTAAAAAACAAAATATAAATCTGTATTTATATATTGTATATATGTATTAAATATATACATATACATATCTATTTACTTCTTTTTTTTCTCACTATTGCTCATTTCTCACTTGATCTGTGAAGAAAATCATAATTTCGAGGCTGTATAAAAAAAACAGTGTTTGTAGATAGAAAATCCATTTAGAGGTTTTTTTCTGAATGTGTTCAGTCCAGTGTGTGCTGCAGGGCCGCTATCAGTAGTTGACAACCATGATGGTTGTCACGTCTCAGGTGGCCCTAGGGGGCCTCACCGCCCGGGCCCCACATGTAGCAGCGGAACTGCCGCTGGTGCTGCAGCATTGGGGCCCGCACGCTGATAGGCCCCTATATCTTCAGGGGCCTGGTCAGCACTACAGCCGTGCAATAGCGCGACCGTGACCCTTTAAAAAATTTCAGCCACAAGTACTGCTGGGAGGAAGTTACGGAAGGGGAAAGAGACAGGCCGCGAGGACAGGAGAGCCCACACCGACTCCCATCAGTCCCAGCCACCCTCCTACAAAGGTAAGTGTGACGAGACCAATCTCGCCACTGTGCATTGGAGGAGCCTGGTTGCCCGCCTGCTGCCTTTAGACTATGGCCCCATGTTGAAACATTTTACCCTGCGAAGACACGAAAGCCGGGTCATTCGGTGCTTGCCCTGTTTGAGCGGTGATAGCCCAGATAGCTATGCCATGGAGCCCATTCGTATAATGAAAGACTATGGGAAAGACTTTGGCTCCATGGCAATTGAACTGTATGTGTGTGATCTGAGCGCCATTCAGTAATAATGTGCGCTCAGATCTGATCTATCTGGGGATATGTTGAATGTACCTGTTTTGTGCAATGGCTGCACAGTTATATACTTTTATGTATTTTATTGTCTTTTGCTGCCATGTGTTCAATGGAGTTTTGCCTCTGTCCTTGGAGATAATTGGATTACTTCCTAATTATCTCCAGGATAGAAGACTCTGTGGAACTGGTTTTGGGCAGAAAAGCCATGCTTCATTTGGTTACAAAGTACTGCAATCTATCTTTTGCACCACTGGACCAATTTGTATGATTCTGACGTAGGTCTCTATTTGGAGTATGCTGATTCTGAAAATGTAAGTTTTATGTGAATGTGATGCATACTTTTAAAGTTATGAATAATGTGGAAAAACTGTATTTCTCTGCCTGTGATGATTGCATTACCCATTGTGTAAGGTAATTGTATCTGAGGTAGAGGGGAGGATTTTGTGTGGGAGTGTCTGAGTGTATTGTATGTGTTTATTGGTTGTTTTCCAAAACCCTGTGGGTGGTACTAATGTGTATATAAGAAAAATAAACCCACAGCTCTGTCTGTACATGCTTGACCCGCAAAACGGAGCCTTGTCTCGTTCTTTGGGGGATTTATTGTATGCTGTTCCAGTTTGACTGCTAGGAGTGTAAACCTATTTGTATGGTTTTTCCTATTCAGCTGTTTACAGCATTCATATGCTTCGTATTCTGGTCCTGGAACCATTCCTAGAGACAATCAGCTGATTCATGGATTTAAAATTAAAGAGGAGGAATACAAAATATCTGCGTTTGCGGACGATCTAATTTTCTCGATATCCCACCCACTCTCCCACACATGTGGAAGTTTGTCCAACTTTCGGGCCAATCTCACAAAATGTGAGTTACTTCCCTTGCACACGACACCAGACACAAACACACAACTGCAACAGAAATTTAACATCGCCTGGGCCGCCACTTCTATTAAATACTTAGGTATACACCTACCGCATCAGACTAATCACTTATATGATCTGAACTACCCCACTACTAGAGGCCATATTTAAGGATATGAAAACATGGCATAAACCATGTTATGGCTGGTTTTGTAGACTTAACATTCTAAAAATAAATGTGCTGCCATGCATTTTATACGCCCTGCAGACGATTCCCATAGTACTTCCCAAGAAATAATTTGACACAGTTAGGGCGATGGTCACTTCCTTTTTATGGTCAGGCTCACATCCCTGCCTGGCACACTCTCTCCTCACCAAATCCAGAGACAGGGGTGGTGTTGGACTCCCTGACATAGACACGTATCATAGAGCAGTTCATCTAGCCCGAATCCATGAATGGACTAACGCAAGCACTTCCCATCACCTATGTGCACATAGAGGCATCCTTCTTTGAAGTCCCCATCCTGACGATCCCATGGCACAAGTCAGGCCAACTGTTCCTACAACATAAACACATCCCAAACATTACAGCCACACTGAAGGTATGGACAAATATTACGCAGACAAAAGATCTATCCTCTTACCCCTCCCCACTCTA